AGCTGGGGAGATTGGACCTCGACCACCTCGACCACCGAGTATCCGACCTCGTCACCCAGCTGGGGAGATTGGACCTCGACCACCTCGACCACTGAGTATCCGACCTCGTCACCTAGCTGGGGAGACTGGACCTCGACAGCCGAGACCACAACCACGACTACAACCACGGCTCCAACATCTCAATGGGATGATTGGACTAGCACTACCAAGGAACCAGCTCCCACTCCATCTCCATCATGGGGTGACTGGCATCCGGGTTCTCCTGCTCCATCTCAGGGCTGGGGTGACTGGCACTCTACATGCGAGCAGGCTACTACGACTGTTTACATCACAGAAACAGTCACTTCATACGTGAAGCCATCCACCACTTGGACCAAGAGTCAGCCATGGAAGGACTGGGACTAATTGGGTAACTCCTTCTCGGCTTCCGCTATATGCGATCGAGATGAGACAGTATTGGAAAATCCTTTAGTTCCTTGGATCTTGTGCAAACCCAATTTTTCCTCCTTATTTTTTGGGAGGGGGTATATATACTGCGGTTATATATGCTCCACGATCAAGTACATGCATCGACTGGGAGGAGGGCACAGGAAGGCGTTTGCTCATTGGCGAAACGAAAAATTGGTCGTAGCTACCTAATCATAGTCAGTCCTTAATACCTATTACTGATGGAATAGTATGAAAGCATTAGACAGGGAATACGATGAGAATGAAGAAAAAGAAAATCAGTCTCAGTTCTCCTACAAGAATTTCCGTCATCAATTTGACGTCCTGTCATTATCACGTATCAGACATTGTCATTGAGCATAACATGCCGCGTAATAGTACTATGCTCCGACTGCTATGGCTGGTGCAGCGTGTTGCTAGATTAGTTTCGTTACTAATTTGCCTGTATTCGATCCCTCAAACAATCTCAGCCAGGTCTTGGGAACATCTTCGAACTTCGTCGGAACCACCTGTTCATTCTCGTCCGAGATTTTGAGTTTTCCTTCTTTAAGGGATCGGATGAAGAGGGCGATTGTTTCGTTGAACGTGGACATGAAATCGGTCACGATGAAGCCGCGGACCGAGAGGCGCATCGTGATGATTTGGAAGTAATCTGCAAAAGAAAAATGTATGTAAGCTTTTGGACTCCCTCCTCGTTTTGGTGCAGCGTCGTGCGAGATGAAATGTATTGGCAAGGATGTGATACAGAATACATACTCTTTAAAACGGTAGGCTCTTGGGAATTGTAGCCGGAAATCGAGCCGCATGCGATAGAGACCCCGTTTCGTTTCAGCCTTGCGAGCATTAAATCCAGGATATGACCCTGGCATCGCAGACTGGTCAGACTCTGCCATATCAAGACCCCACACAGACGAGAAAGTAAAGGGAAAGGATCGTTCCTTACGCCGACATTATCGAAATAAATATCCACAAACCCGTCGGTAGCTTTGACCAGGTCCTGTTCGAAGGTCGGGCCACGGTAATTCAAACACAAATCTGCACCGAGACTCTCGACCCAGCGGCATTTATCATCTGTGCCTGCAATGCCAATGACTTCGGAGCAGCCGACGATCTATCAAGAAAGAGTCAGCGATGGAGCAGAGATGCGGCCAAAGTTGGGTTCGAGGCAGACATTCTTCGCAATCTGAACTGCCATGCTCCCAGTAGCTCCTGCAGCTCCCGAGACGACGACTCTCATGCCGGCTTTTGCTTCTCCCACCACGACCAGGCCGTAATATGCGGTTAATCCGGGGCCACCAAGAGCGCCCAGATAATGGGTCGGACTCAGCCCGTTAGGTAATGGGTTTCGAGGAGTGCAATCCGCCGCACTCAGCACGACATATTCGTTCCAGCCGAGGACTGCCTGGATGAGTGTGCCTGGAGGCAAGCTTTCTGCTGTCGATGCGATGATTTGGCCCAAACCACGCGCTCCCATGGGTGCTTGCAGTTGCACGGGAGGGGCGTACAGGCGCTCAGGAGGGATTGATGATTCAATGCTAACTCGTTGCGCTGGATCGTTGGAGAAGAATAGGCTTTTCACTAGGACCTGGTTTGGTTGTAGATTTGGCACAGGCTTCTCAACGAGTTTGAACGTTGGGTTTTCATCGGTGCTGGAGAACGTCGGAAGGCCCTTGGGGTGATTGGCTAAAATCCAGGAACGAGTGACAGTCGGTGCGGAAGCCATGGTTCAATATTCTGATCCCACAAAAAATCAATGACACGGGGTTATGTTTCCGGTGTGGAAGAGGTGTCGATGCCTGTATTTGATGTCCTCTTGATTGCTTCCTCTCCTGATCTGATTTGATTCAAGCTCCTAGCGAAAATGAGTCTCCAACGGCCGTATCCAAAACGTCCTCGCACAAATGTCCACTTTCGTCAGCGACAAATCATGCGACGGTTTGGCAATCTAGGTCGTTGGCAGCCTTTTAAGTTCCAGAGAATCTTGTGGTAGGCGAAAGAAGAGATTGAATGTTGACACGTGGAATTGATTGCCAGTCTTACGAGGTGGAATGACATATGTAATCAATTGTTGGAACATCAAGGATATTCAAGGTGTATGGGGTATATCTCGTTTGGGGAATTTCCATCCGGACCGAGGTTAGCTGGTCGAGACAATTGCACCACTAGGGGATAGTGGAAAGATGAGGAGATTCAGTATAGAAATATTCACATTTGTCAGCGAATGCCGCTGAGACACGATCTCTGAATCGTTGCTGACGACTCGGCTCGGGCTTGACAATGCTTCGAGATACAACTGGGGTTTGGCATAGAATGGAGCAAAATGCCCGAATTCCTCAGATTTAGGAGAAGCCTTGTTCTTCCAACCGAGCTACACACCGCGGTAATTCCCAGTTTGACATAGAGATTGTTGAGCAACGTATGGGAAGCCTGAGTGATCATCATGGCCAAACGGATCCGTCATCCTTGATCTCGATGTGACGCCATACCATACCGCCATGGGTATGTATCGTCGAGAAGGTCGGCTTGACGCTGCTTGGTGACCGACCGCATCCGCTCCAGGAAGCAGGGCCTGCCGGTTGATTCAAGCCAGCTTCACTGTCTATTACCGGAACGGGAATCTCGTCATGGAGGGAAGGAGAGGGAGAGGAGGGAATATCAAACCCAGTGGACCGCCGATAGTGTTCACTTCACCTCGGTCGGGAGTCACTCGTCTTCAACCATAGAGCCCATCCCACTCTTCTTCCTCGTCGTCTGGAGCCGCGGTCTTCTTGATTTCATCTAGTTGCTTCTGTTTCCGATCTCTTTCACGTTGCGCCAGATCCATTCTATCAAGTGGACATGTTCCATTCAACAACAACCAGGGTCGTATGCATTCCAGATCAAAGATATGATTTGCGTGGCAAGGTAACCGCACCAAGAGTGGATGCGGGTCGTCCACGAAAGCATTTCCGCATATAGGACAGTCGGCGTCTTGTTTGACCTTTTTGATGTTGACCCGCTCCAACGCCGCAATATACTCCTCGTCCACCCCTTTGACTTCGCGAGGAGGCGTTTCTGCAGAGCCCAACAAGCTTGATATCATATTCTCCAACAAGTCTGAATCGGCGTTGTCATTTTCTCTGAGCATCAATTGAAAAGCTTCAGCGAGGGAGCGGAAAGCCGCCGACACATCACCCGGAACAGGGATGGCATGTGCTCTGGCTCGATTTTCAGGACGATCAGGTGTGATTTCAGCAAGAAGACTGAGGAATGAGGAAAGATCGGGCCTGCGAGATTGACCTTGACATCGATTTGGCGGATCAGTCGCATGCTCGGCTAGAGCTTGTTAGTATGGGACAAGACAAATCGAAACACTCCTACTCTCATAGCTTGTCATTGTGGTCCTGGGAGAGCGTTGTTAAATGGATTGGGGATTGCTGGAACGATGAGGGTGGGAGTAGAAACCAATCAATCCAGGCACGAGAGGATGGCGTGGCACAGGGACGCAGACAAACAATTTGCCTGATGGCGGATCGGGAGGGGCTTTCGGAGGAGATTGTGTGGGTAGATTATTGTGTTCAGAGACGCAACGGCCGCGAAAAAAATCATCAAAGAGGTGTAGGGTAAACGAAGTCTCCGTGAGGCAGTCTATATACGATATATGAGAGAAACTCAGCCAATGGTGGCTCTTTGTACTTCGACCCTCGACTTGAACTTCGCTCCGACTCACCCCCCCCCCCTCCTCTCTCCTCTTCCTTCTTTTATTCAGTCCATCACTTTTCCACACTACTAGCATCATTGACGATGATCATCCACAGTCCACGGTGAATCTTTGGCTCTTGGAGCCCTCGCCATTGCCGGAGTCACCCACAATGCATCGTCCTCCAGATCCATGACCAGTCCCGTCAAATCATTGCGCCGATGGAGGCAGATTGGGATGAAATCACTCGCATTGCGGTGCCGTCGTCTGGCCCGCAGGCAATCCCGACGCCGGCCAGTGCTGTGACCTTTGATGATGTACAAGAATTGCTCTGGGTTGGCAATGACCAGGTATGTTGGATCAGAAACCGTACCCTTCTCGTGAGACTCATGCGCAATGCCCAGGGACGGGTCACTTCTTTCTATGGGCCCGAGTTGCAACGCTATGTCTCTGTCAAGGCTCATCTAGGCGAGGGGCCTGTCAAGCAGCTCCTTGTCCATGAAAAGGGCATCGTGTCTATATCGGCCTCGAGTGTCCATTTGGTGAGCCGGAAAGGCTTGACCCAATGGCATATTTCTCATCGACTCATGACCGATTTGCGATGCGTCGCGTTCGCCGCCGCCAACAATCTCATCCTGGTTGCTGGATGCCAAAGTACCTTTTTCATCATCGACGTTGACAAAGGCCAAGTGGTATCCGAGCATCTTGCTCAAGCCAAGTATACCATCATGAGGAAGAGCCGACATATCTGTGCGGCGACCGATGACGGCAACGTCCATATTCTCGGTTTGCCCGACTACAAACTACTCAAAACGTGGAAAGCTCACTCGACCGCAGTCAATGATATGGATGCGCGGAATGACTTTCTGGTGACGTGCGGATTTTCCGTCCGACAATTGGGGGTACCAATCGTCGACCCATTGGCCAATGTCTACGACTTGAAGACCCTCACATCACTTCCTCCCATTCCATTTCATGCGGGCGCCGCATATGTCCGTCTGCACCCGAAATTACAAACCACCAGCTTTGTGGCATCACAAACCGGCCAGATGCAGGTGGTGGATCTCATGAATCCCGTCAATGTCATGCTCAAACAAGCCAACGTTCAATTTATGTCGGGCATGGAAATTGCATCCTCGGGAGATGCTCTGGTCATAACAGACACAAACGGCTTGATATATTTATGGGGCTCGCCCTCCAAGGTTCGCTTCAACAACATTAGTCGAGATACTGAATTTGCCAATCCACCTCCCGCCCAGGTCGCACATATCGATTGGAATGATACACCGCTCAACACCGTCGGGATGCCTCACTATTCTGAAACCTTGCTATCCGCCTGGCCCAGTCACCTGGTGTTTGACGTAGGAGCGCCACCGGTCCCGGTGGAACCATCGCTTCTTTTTCACATGCAGACTGCCGAAATGGGCCACTATGCCCCAAATCTCAATCCTCGAAAACTTCTCCGCTATCAGGTGGAAGACACCAGAGCGGGGCAGGTGCCTGCCTCCATTGCCGCTCCCAAATTTTTGAGTGAAAAGGCGAAGGAGACGACATCCAACGGGAGTGGGCGGAAGTTGTCTGATGCCGCCGAAAGTCTGGCCGGAATCTCTCTCAATGGACGAGCCCAAACTGACGAAGAACGAATGCTCAAATATAGCAATGTCGAGATCAAATATAGCCGGTTCGGAGTCGACGACTTCGATTTTCGATACTACAACAAAACACCGTATTCCGGACTGGAAACGCACATCGCGAATTCTTTCATCAATTCTCTTCTCCAGCTGTATAGATTTATTCCTCTGGTTCGCAACGTCGCCATACAGCATGCCGCCACCTCGTGCGTGACCGGCAACTGCCTGCTTTGCGAGTTTGGATTCCTGTTCGACATGCTGGAAAAGGCCAACGGACAAAACTGCCAGGCAACCAATCTTCTCCGGGCATTCGGAGCGTCCAGGGAAGCGGCGAATCTTAGTCTCTTTGAGCATTTGTCTCTGGCCAATGGAACTCCACTCTCCTCAACGATTCAAGCGGTAAATCGGTTCTTCTTGAAGCAGATGGCACATGATTATGTCACGATGGCTTCGAGCGGTGACGGAATTGATCAAGTCCTCGCCAGCAGTGCCTTTGAGGCCATTCGTTGCATATACTGCAACAATGAAACGATCAAACCGGCGACCACCTATGTGCATGACTTGATTTATCCGCAAATGGACCCGAAGCACTCGATGAGATACCTCAAGTTTTCATCCGTTCTGAAAACGACCATTGAACGCGAAGCTAAGAACCGGGGATGGTGTAGTCGATGTCGACGGTATCAACAACTGGCCATTCGCAAGACGGTCAGGCAATTACCATATGTTTTGATGCTCAACGCGGCCCTGGGAAATAATACGGCGATGCGGGGACTATGGGAAACTCCCGGCTGGCTTCCCTCCGAGATTGGCATCATCGTCCAGGACAGAAACGTGTATTGTTTTGAAGGATCGGATCTGGCGCTGCACTTGCGCAATAAGTCTCCAAATCTGGTGATATATGAATTGGTTGGATTTGTGGCGGAAATTGACACCAGCGAAAGACACCAACCTCATCTGGTCAGCATGGTCAACGTCGAGGTTTCGAGTGTCGGACCCGATACCTCTTACAACCACAAAGTGTTCCCCAATTGGCATCTCTTCAACGATTTCTTGGTGTCACCGGTGGATCCCCGGGAAGCCTTGCATTTCAACAAAGCGTGGAAGATGCCCAGTGTGATCGCCTATCAAGTGAGAAGTGCACACGGCAAACTTGATCAGTCGTGGAAAGACAATCTCGACACGACCTTACTGTACCAACATTACAGCATCAACGGGCTTTACCCCATCAACGAATGCAAAATCTTGAGACCGGAAGAACATCCGCAAAGAGGAACTCCGATCGCGTTGGACACGGAATTTGTGGAACTGGAGAAGGCAGAGATCAATGTCAAGGCCGATGGCACACAAGAAACCATTCGTCCGGCCAAATCTGGTCTGGCTCGCGTCAGTGTTCTACGCGGTAACGGGGACGATGAAGGGGTTCCCTTTATCGATGACTACATCACCATCTACGACCCCATTGTGGACTACAAAACACAGTATTCTGGAATTCGCCCGGGAGATCTGGATGTCCAGATCTCCCACCACAACCTGGTTCCTCTCAAAGTGGCGTATAAGAAACTCTGGATCCTCCTCAATCTCGGCTGTGTGTTCGTGGGCCATGGACTGGCGTCTGATTTCCGCAAAGCCAACATACACATACCCAAGGACCAAACGGTCGATACACAATATCTCTACCTCGCAAAAGGCAAGCACCGGCGATTCTCCTTGCGATATCTGGCTTGGGCGGTGTTTAGGGAGTACATCCAAGAAGAAGTGGCCGACGAGACCCAGACCGACGGACACGACAGCATCGAAGACGCACATATGGCATTGCGACTCTGGCGAAAATTTCTCGAGTACGATCACGCCGGCGCCGTGGAACAAATGGTCGAGGAAATCTACCGCAAAGGCACCAAGTATGGCTGGAAGCCTCCACCAAGGAGTATTGGAGGTACATTGTTGCCGGATGGGATCGGCACGGGAGCGGCTAACAGCGCGGTACCGAGTGGGAGGAACACACCAGATATGATGGCGGCGCCAGCCGCTGCGTCTTTAGCTACATCACCACCAGTGTCTCAGGGTAATGGGACTGAGAGAGGTAATGCGAATGCAGGTGGATCATTCAAATTGAACGCAGCGGGAGCGGGGACATTTGTGCCTGGAGATGGGATTGTCAAAGACACTCCGCTGCGATGAATGAAACATGTCGAAAGCTGATATCTTCGCTTTGGGACTCGGATGCGGATGCTGATGCCGATGCCAATGCCGTGACGCCGACGCTGATGACGATGGATTTAATTCTTGAATTTCCCGCAACAAGCAAAGCTCACGAATATCTTGGACTGTGTTGCTGAATGTAGCTTTGCCTTCGCCGTCCGTTCTGATGTCACACGCGCAGATCAGAAGTACTCTGCCGGGCATTATCTGAATTGGAATTAGCACACAAGGATTCCGAAACCACGTTATCCGTACCTTGGGTGTCGTGTAGCATTGTCTTCATCTCATCCCGCACAAAATCGTACATTCAAATCAAAAAATCAAATCCAAATTCTGTTCTGATGACTGTTCGTCTCGGCTGTCGTTAGATAACGCCCGGACAAGACTAGTTTTTCCATACTACCAGGAATTAAGGCCCACCTGGGGCGGCTCACCAGGCCCTCTTGGTGCACCGACGGCCCGAGGGGCTTTCCAGCGTGATTGGTGTTTGATTTTCCGTGGCTTGGGCAGAATTGCTATTTTGAGAAGAAACCCCAACTTCAGCCATAGCTGCTAATGCGCTGCCTCAATTGCGGTTTTCGCAGATGCGCGATGTCTGGGTTGATTTGACCCGACCACCATCCTGCTACATTCACCGTCTCACTCCCAACACTCACTCGCCGTTGCCGAGCAGTTTGAAACACTTCCTCTCCCTCACCTTCTCTCACTTCCGCGAAACGAGAACCGCAATATAATACCCTCCCTTCCGCCTCTATCACGAGGCCTCTTTTTCTCACCATGCCCAAATCCAAAATGAAGTCACGCCCACAAGTGTACCCGCGCCTGCCGTTCCACATTATTCGGGCGATAGCCTTCATCAGCGGAAGTATTGTCTCGGGAATCTTGATCTTCTTCTGCGTACAGCTGCGACACGATGGGTTTAAATTGCCGTGGACCTTTATAATTGTACGTTGACGGATCCTTCTAGCGAGCGCCTATTCCCCCTTCTCTTTGCTGCCCGCATGTCTCCGTGATTTGCCCCGTCGAAAATGTTTGAGAGCTAGCAACTAACCCGATCATGTTGAACAGGTCCTTGCCGCATCTCTCCTATCCCTCCTCACCCTCCTAATCACCAGCATCATCTACGCGTGTGCCTTCCTCTCACCGCTCATCAACCTACTCGCCAACGTCACCATCACTATCCTCTGGACCGTCGGTCTCGCTCTCTTGACATGGAACATGTACGGCACACTGGGCCACAGCTGTAGCCGCGCGAACTGGGCGTCCGATGACGGTATGATGATCTGTCGAACCTACAAAGCCTTATACTCTTTCGCATTGTTCGGATGGCTGTCGCAGATCGCACTGATTGTGCTCGACATTCGCAGCCGGCGCGTACAGACGGCGTTGGGCAAGTATAACAAAATGGCGGCGGCAGCAGCAGCAGCGGATGCGGGTCGAGATGTCAAATTGGACTCATTGAGCAGAAGTAGTTGGGGACATGATAGCGCAGGAGAGAGAGAGGTGCCGTACGGAATCCCGGATTATGGCGACGATGCAACGAGGGCGTTGAGGGGTGGCAACCAGCAGCCGCCGTTGAGAATGGATGATTTCAGCAGTTATGATCGATATGCACCCCAGACTCGGTATGCCAATGCCGGATACGGATATGGACCACGTTAAGAATGGGAATTTGGGGAATGTGTTTTTGATCTGAAATGGCATGGCATCGCATAGCAGGATGACGTAGCACGAGACAGAAGTAATAACTGAGATTCTTGCGTTGGCGTTACGAACGAACGATCAATTGATCTACGTATACTAATCCCCCAAACTATTCGGATCTTCGTCGTCGTCGCCCGGAAAATATACCGGGTCCAGAGTACTCCATATTTCACTTGACCCATGCATTCTTAACGTATTGAGAGAAAAACCCAACCTAGCTGCGGACAGTGTCCGAGCGGACCAGAAATCGACCAGACCAAGAGCGAGTAAATAAAGACAAAGCCACTCCGTAAGCTATCTTATCCCGGTCCCTATCGGGCCCGTTGTCAATCATTCCTCGATCTAAAACCATCCATCCCATTGCATTCGCCAGGCCTGTCTTCAATCAAAAGTTCGACCTTCGCTCTTTCAAGTCCAGCTTAGCTCCTCAGACACGCTCGATTCCAGGCGCCCAACAGTAGAACCATTTGCACGTAAGTTCCGTGTTCCACTCCATGTGCTGTCCGACGGGTCTTCCTGATTGAAACACAATATCATATCCGGGATTCTCCAATGAGGGTAAAAAGGGGGGGGGGGGGGGGGGGG